GTAGAAGTAGTAGTAGTAGTCGTAGTAGTAGTAGCCGTCGAAGTTTTAGTCGTGGTAGTACAAGTAGTAGCGGTAGTAGCAGTAGTAGTTGTAGTAGTAGCAGTAATCGTAGTAGTAGTAGTAGTAGTAGTAGTAGTCCGCGCAGTAGTCGTAGTAGTCGTAGTAGCAGCCGTAGTAGTAGTAGTAGTAGTAGTAGTAGTAGTTGTTGTTGTTGTCGTAGTAGTAGTAGGGGTCGTCGTAGTAGTAGTAGTAGTAGTAGTAGTAGTAGTAGTCGTCGTAGCAGAAATAGTCGTATTAGTCGTAATGTGTGCAATATCCGTAGTAGTAGTAGTAGTAGTAGTAGTAGTGGTAGTAATGGTAGTAGTGGTCGTAGTAGTAGTAGTAGTAGTAGTAGTAGTAGTTGTTGTTCTAGTAGCTGTCGTAATAGTAGCCGTGGCAATAGTAGTAGTAGTAGTAGTAGTAGTAGTAGTAGCAGTAGTAGTAGTAGTAGTAGTAGTGGTCGTAGTCGTAGTCGTAGTCGTAGTCGAAGTCGTAGTATACGAAGTAGTAGTAATAGTAGTAGTAGTGGTAGTAGTAGTAGTAGTAGTAGTAGTAGTAGCCGTTGCGGTTGTAGTCGTAGTTGTAGACATTGTAGTAGTAGGAGTAGTAGTAGTATTCGTAGTAGTAGCAGCAGCAGTAGTAGTAGTAGTAGTAGTATTAGTAGCAGTAGCAGTAGTAGTAGTAGTAGTAGTAGTAGTAGTAGTAGTAGGAGTAGGAGTAGGAGTAGGAGTAGTAGTAGGAGTAGTAGTAGAAGTAGTAGTAGTCGTCGTCGGCGTCGTCGTATTATTTGTAGTAGTCTTAGTCGTAGTCGTCATCGTAGTAGTCGTACTAGTAGTCGGTGTAGAAGTCGTGGTAGTCGTAGTAGACGTAGTAGTAGTAGTAGTAGTAGTAGTAGTAGTAGTAGTAGTAGTAGTAGTAGTTGGTGTTGGATGTAGGATGTATGATGTAGCACGTATCATGCGCTACTCAACAGTATAATCTACCAACTTCGACCCGTACCTGTCGCCAGCGATAATGAAGCGCGACCTCGACGCCCCACCCACCCGATCAACTCTGTCTCGGCCTGGGATATTCAACGTTCAAATGGAAGGGGGGTCTGCTTTCTTATCATGGGCACTAGCTGGTCTAAGCTTCATTGTGTGTAAAGTATGTGGTCTGCACCGTTTTGTGTAGGTTATGTGACCGGAGCTAGATTGCACAAGGTTTGCGATGTGACCTACGTTGATTAAGTTGTATGGTGTAACTTATGCGGCTAGATTGTCTGAGCTATGTGACCCACCTTGGGTACGGGGCTCCCACGAGGCGCGCACGGGCGGTCACCAGGCGACACCTTGGCGGACCCACCCAGTGCACGGGGCGCCCACGAGGCGCCCACGCGAGGGCAGCAAACGAAACCTCGGCGGACCCACCCAGGGCACCTCGTGCGCCCACGAACGCCCACGGGCGGGAACGTGGCGAAACTGGGATGGACACGCCCAATATTCAGCAACCGAGATGGTAACCCCTGAGTGCAAGCAGTGCTTCGGAGGAAAAGAAACACAGACAGCACTGCGCCTCCAGCCGGCCACGCCAGGATGGGCCGGGCCAGTGCCAGGACCTGGTCGAAGGGTGGTCGGCCGACGGTCGCCCGATCGCCTGCGCGCTGTACCGCACGGCGCAAGCGGCCGCTAGGGAAGGCCAGCCGCAGGGCGAGCACGCCGTGCTCGCTGGCGCGCCGCTGGGCGGCGTCGACGGCGCCGCCCGCGCGCCCGGCGCGGGGCAGGGCGCTGCCGCGCAGCAGCGCCAGGCCTTGCGCTGGCGCGCCGCCGCCAGCCGCCGCAGCCAGGGCCGCAGTGGCGTTCAGGATCAGACGGGGGACCGGTCGAGACCCAGACCTCCGAGGGTCTAACATGAACCCCGCGCGACCCCGATGACGGGAAAGTTTCTTACTGCATGGGCGCAGCGTTTGGCGGAGCTTGGAAACGAGACAAAGCAACCAGGGGCTTGCAGTAAAGGAACCAACCAAGCAACCCCGGGAAAGGCCACACCAAGGAAGCAGGACGGAAACCAGGCCAAGCAACCCTGAGGAACGCTAGCCTGCGCAGGCCTGGCACCCACCGGCTGTTCGAACACAATTAACCTTTTTGGCAAGCCCCACTTGCGAAAAAACGATATTGAGGTGTTCCTTCGTGTTCAACCTCTGGGAGTCCTCGCCGGGCCCCTGGGGCTGTCAAAGACCGACTCAGGATGCAAAGCCAGCCCTGGAGGAAACGATTTCCGGGGACCCCGTATTAAACAAACCAAGGCGTCGGACCTCTGGGGACAGCGGCGGTCCTCCCTTAGATTCTTTCCTGAGGTTTCCCACCGCCACGGCTGGCTCCGCCTCGAAAAACGGATCGGGGTGGACTCCGGGTGGTGTCCAGGGTCGGAGGTCCGCGCGGATTTCTCCGATCGTCGCTGGACCCCCCTCCCTGACGATCAGAGCGCGCTAGGGTCGAGGCCGGAGGTGCCGCTGGGGCCCAGCGCCGATCCGAGACACCCGTGCGGACCTCCGAACCTCCGAAAGTTTATGTTCATGCCTTTTGTTCCTTCCTCATCGGTCGGGTGTTGCCAGAAGTGCCCCTGGCCCAAGGTGCTCCCAGAGTTTCAAGGACCCCACGGCTTCCAGAGTACCCCTCACGAGGCCCATGGGGCCCCAGGGCCCACCAATGGAACGAACCGTTGGGGGCACCTCGGGCCAGGGACACCTTCGCAGATCCCTGGCGTCATGTTTTTTGTTTTTCAATATATATATATATATATATATGTATATACACATATAAAGAACCCCACCCCCCCCAAACAAAAAAAAACGTCGATCAGCAGATTTCTCGACCCGTTGCCTGGGACTGGGTTTTCATCCTGAGTCGTCTTTTGACTGCCCCGAGGTCTGGTAAGGGCCTCCAGAGCCGAAACTAGCGAAACACTTTCCGTCATGATTTCTCCATGGGTCTAGAGCGTTTGGGTTTAGCAACCCCCGAGCTCGGGCCCCACTTGGAGCGGATCTCGGGCGGGCTCGAGCCGCCGCCGTGTCGGTTGGCCCTCCTCTGCTGCCCAGGAGCAGCCGCGCGTTGGCCCCGCCGCTCGCGGCGGGCCCGCGTCCAGATCGGGCCGGGCGAGCCCTGAGGTCCTACGCCGCGGGGCAGGTCTCGCAGGTCTCGGTGGTCGGCGGCCAGCCCGGGGCGTAATTGAGAAGGGGTGGGCCGCCTCAGAAGGCTCGGAAGGCCTCGGGCCTCCTGAGAAGTTTTCGAAGCCTTCCCCGACGACACATGAAGCTTCTCAGAAGGCCAGAGGGCTTCTGAGAAGCCCCGCCGCCTTCAAGGCCCAAGGCCTTTTCCTTCTCACTTACCACCTCGGCGCGCCGCCGAGGCACGATCGAAATGGGTACGGAAAACATGAGCACGATGCCCAACAATCGAAGTTGTCCATCACCGGCAGAGGCCGCTGTTGGGCAGGCGGCATTCTGTCTCAAATGGACAACGCCCGCGGCGACACGAACATCGAGTTTGGCTCACAAAGATCAGAACATGTTGTCGGTGGTCTTCGTGCCTAGAGAACCAAACAACGACGTAAGCATAACAATTCGGAGGTCCGCGCGGGCGCGCCTCTAGGTGGGCCCAGCGCCGATCCAAGATCTCTGCGCGGACCTCCAATGTGTTACGTTTATGTCATCGTTTAGTTCTGCAGGTACGAAAACTACCGACAGCATGTCCTGCTCATGTTGAATTGGACTCGCTCTCGGTGTCGCCGCGGACGTTGTCCACTTGAGACAGAATGCCGCCGGCCAAACAGCGACCGCTGTCGGTTTTGGACAACGTTTGTACTTGGGCATCGTACCATTTTTGTCCGTATCCTGTTCTGTCGTCCAGACAAGCTCACATCTCTGACGAAATGGGTGTTTCAATCCTGGCGGTTTCTGTTCGATTTCCCAAATCTCCGACGTCGAGGGATATTCAAGACGGCGGTTTTCGCTTGTGTTCGTCCTCTGATGGGGCCTCGCCGAGCCCTGGGGCCGCCAAAAACCGACTCAGGATGCAGAGCTGGCCCTGGGGGGTCGGGGCCTCGAAGGACCCCGTCTTCAAACATCAGGACACCGGGTCTGCGGATACGTTTGGGCGGCCTCTCGGGCCTGTGGTCGGGCCGCGGGAGAATCAAAACTAGACCTGGGGCGGAAAATTACGCGTCGGGAGCTCTGAAGAGTTGCGGAAAGAAAGGGCACGTTGTAGAATGCGTAGGATTGCAGCATCACGATGCACATTGCGACCGGAACCCTAGAGCCTAGGCCCGAAGTTCTTGCGGCATCTCTCGAGCCTGATCGGTCTGTGAGGAAGACCCCCGACCCTGGGGGCCCGATAATTGGGCGAGGCCCGCCAGGTGCGACGAAAATTGCGACGCCAGGACCTCAGGGAAGAGGGGGAGGGATTGACAAGGGCGGGGGGGCGAAGTCTGCTGCCTGCAGCTGGTTTCGGCCCCGCCGCCTGGAGCTTTCCGAGGCACGCTGGCGCCAGGAGGCACCAGGGAAGCCAGCTACGGGAGATGATTCGCTCACCCGCCCCCCCGTTTACGGCAGGTTCGCGTCGTGTCGGCGCGGCGGTGACCCCGCCACGGGCGTTCAACGTTGAATGACGCCAGTGGTCCAGAATCGGCCAGTATGGAAAGGTCCAGCGATCGAAAAGCGGCCGAGTGTTCAAGGTTTAGCGATCTACGAGGCGTGAGAAACCAACACAGGGGACGTCACGATACGAATTTGCCGTACTTCTCCCTCCCTGCTTCGCCCGACCCGAGGGCAGGGAGCCAGGGAACGCCACGTGTGGGAGGCTGTCTGTCTCGTTCGCGAGAAATTTAGGCTGGTGCCCCGCGCGGCGGTCGTGCACCATTCGGTCCTTCCACGGCTGCGTCGGCCTGGGTCACACTGCTGCGCGCGCGGCAGGCGCCAAGGGCACGGGCGCGTACTCAGTTGTTGATGTCGACGATCTGGCAGTTCAACAGAAGAGATGGAGTGAGGAAGGCGTCGAAGAAGAAACAAAAGCATAAACATGACGCTCCAAGGTCCGCCCAAATTTCTTGGATTTGCGCTGGATCCCCTGGCGGCACCTCTGGCGCCGACCCTGGCGCGCTTCGTGCGCCAGGAAGGGGGTGTCCAGCGCCGATCCAAGAACATCGCGCGGTCATTTGAAAGTTTACGATTTGGGGTTGTTTTATCCTCTAAGGTTGGGCCGTGCTGCAGGGAGCAGTGAAAGACGCGGATCTTCTCACTTCGATGGCGCTCTGGGTCAATCAGACAGTGAAGCAACGGGAGCCTAATGCTTTCCGCAAGGTTGACAGTGTCAGAGCTTTGGCAGAGAACCCTGAGATTATTGAGTTTGTGTATATGCTGTCTGGCAGGAAAGCATCGCCATTCCAAACACTCAATTTCAGGCAAGGGACGCAGCAGCCCACCCATTCGGACCTCATCCATTTCTCAACATTTCCACAAGGGTTGATGTTGGCCGTCTGGGTGGCGTTGGAGGACATCCATAATGACTCTGGCCCGTTGATTATGTATCCAGGTTCGCACAGGGCAGAGGTTGCATATCAAGCTGCCTGCGGCAATTCCCCGTGCCAGCCTTGCATTCTTGCTGGCGACCGTTCGAGGGGGCACGGGAAGCCGTCACGTGTGACACCTCGTGTCTCCAGGTTTGGGAGAGCCGTGATGAGGGTGATAATGATTATGAGGATGAAGGGGATGAGGAGGAGGAGAAGCAGGAGCAGGAGCAGGAGCAGGAGGAAGAGGAGTTCTCATGGAACTCGTCTGGTCCGTGTTAGGGCTGTATTGGCCTCCTGTGAGGGTGACCCTTGGAACCCTCTCACGCCGTCTTGGGGCTCTCTTGAGCGGTCTTGATGCCCTTTCGGCCGTATGGTGGGTGTCTGCCGTCGTGCGGCCGTCTTGGCGGCGCCTTGGGCCGTCGAAGGGCCTTCTCAGGCCATCTTGGGTCCCACGGGAGGCCGTCCTGGATGCCACTTGGGCCATCGCGGGGCCCCCTTTGGCCATCTTGTGATCTTTTTGGACCGTCTTGGGGCCGTCGTGGAGGCTTCTTGGGACGGTGAGAACGGGAACACCATTCGAAAATTGAGGGAATGATGGATGTTGGCTTCTTCGGACCTCGTCGGAGTTCCTCTTATGCATGGCCGGTTTGGGCCTTCTTGAAAGCATCGTGGGCCGTTCTGAGGCCATATTCGGCCGCCTTGGGGACATCTCGGGCCGTCTTCGAAGCATCGTGGGCAATTTTGGCGGCCTTGGTGGATTGCCAGTTCCGTCTTTGGAAGCCATCTTGGACGCCTTGGAACGCGTTGGGGAGGCATCTCGGGCGCCTAGGAGCCTCGGGAGGAGGGTGGGTGCGCGCAAGTGGATGCGATTAGATGTTGGGGGAAGTACGTGCCAGGGGGCACGGTGGCGGATTATGAGGACCTTGAGATTTGGGCAGAAAACGAGTCGTGGGAAGGCCCGTACAGGCAATACGAAGAAAGACTTCAGGCCAGGGTGCTCGCAACATTGCCGCCACCACGAACAGTTCTGCTAAAGCGTGGTGATGCTTTTGTTTGGGCTGCAAATCTTTATCATGGAGGCTCTCCGATCCGTGATCCCAGTCGCACTCGTATGAGCCAGGTCACCCACTATTGGTTGGAGGGTGCGAACTCGTATTGGATCCCCAAGATGTCTTGCATCACGCAAGGCCGGATTGTCACAACAAGCGGTCCAGAGGCATGGAAATTGACCAGCGCGCAGGTTTGGGGGCGACGACAACGCATGGCTAAGGTGCAGCAGCGATGCCCGCCAGACGATCGTTGAAATTCGCAGCCGCTCCTGAGAAATTCCCGAATTGATCATGTTCGTTTGTAGACTCAGCTGGCATAGTCGAACAACAGGCCCCGAGAGAGGGAAGAGAGAAACGCATGCACAGACTCAGGTTTCACTCCCAATGTTCCACAAAGACGCGTCTGCAGGACCTCCGTTGCTGCGGCCATTCCCAGCTCAGAAGTCTAGGCGTGGGTGGTGCCCCCGATCCAAGGGCCACTGTTCTTATGACTCCAAAGCGCAGGAGAGGCTAGCTTTTGCAGGTGCAGGGAGTTCCCCTGTTTGGCGAACCTCTGCAGTTGACCTGGTGTGTAGGCTTCATTTGCCACCCAAGTTGACGGTGGTAGTTCGACCAGGGGCACTTGCATGACGACCTGTGTGGCCTCGGACAGCAGAGCACGGCGCTTCCACGCTAGAAGTTGGCGCTGGATGATAATCTATTGTAAACCGCGAGGTCACCTCTGAAAGAGGCAATGATTTCAACCGTGGCCCGATGATTTTCACCTGCGGCTCCTGCGCTGTACCTCGCAGTGCGACCTCTCGTCCGAAAGGCCCTGCGCCATCGACAGAGGTGCATCATCGCTGCATCACCGTACCAACATCTCAGGGGCAACGTTGGAGGGGTGTAGGCTCAGGGGGGAATGCATCGGCTGCATCGACATCCAATCGCCCATGGATCGCCAATAGGGGCCCGATAGCCCGCCCCACCCAGGAACGTGCGGGGCATATCGCCGATTTATATGCGATGCATCGCCGATTCCAGGTCGATGTTTCACCCCCTCAGCCGGTCCCCCCCTATCGCTGCCCCTCAATATTCCTTCGTAGTTTGTCCATCTGCTTCCAACTGAACTCAAATACAATGACGTCCAACGCAGCCGAATCCCTCGTGTCGGGTCCGCGCGGGTGGGAGGGGGCGCTTGGATCATGCTGTGCGTGCCCGCTCCAGCATGGCGCATACTGCGTGTCCTCGGGGAGGGTCACCGCTTCTTAAACCGATCTTGCGATCCACATTCCGTGGTCGCCCACTCGAGGAGAGCGCCCCTTGTCGGATCCTCCGAGAGGGTTGCGGGCATCCGGCCCTAATCTTCGGAGCAGCATTCCATTTTTGCCCGCTCGAGGATGGCGCCTCGTGACAGGTCCCAAGGGAGAAGTTGCCAGCATGATTCGGCCCTGATGCTACGATCCGCATTCCATGGTTGCCGACTCGAGGAGAGCGCCCCATGTCGGGTCGTCAGGGAGGGTCGCGGGGATCTGGCCTCGATCCTCCGATCCACCTTGCGCGTGCGCCCGCTCGAGGATGGTGCGTCTCGATTCCAAACAATGAATGGTGCGTCCAAGGACAGTTCGGTGTGCCTTCCGTGAGTGTCGGTTCGAGGACTGCGTCTTGGGGCCAAACAGCCCAGGGCCTTGACACGGACACGGGCACGGATAGGGGATGCCGTGCGCATTTTTTGTGGTGTAGAGGAAATGTCACGTTTGCCATGCTTTGCGAGCGTGGCACGGAGAGAGATCGCGCTCAGGGACCACTTCGTGCGTCCCTGTCTTATATGGAGGAGATGCCACGCATACGCCTTGCGAGCGAGGTAAGGATGGAGATCGCGTTCAGGGACCAACCCTTGCGCACCCCTTCCTGGTGTTGAGGAAATGCCGCGCCTGCCACGCCTTTGGAGCGTGTGCCGACTTGAGTAAACACCACCCCATGCGCACCCACTCTGGTGTCGAAGAAATGCCACGCCGTGTGAGGAGGAGGCAAGAGCGGAGTGAGAGGAGAGGGGGAGGAGGAGGACCAGTGTAAACCCAAATCATCAACGATGTTGGACCTAACCCTCCCTCCAAGCTCCCCCTTCATAAGCCCCTACAACGTTTCATTTCCATTGAGGGAACTGCCTCGTTGGAAGACAACCGCTTGAAGATCCTGAAGCATACCAAAACATTGTTGTCTGGATTTCAACGCCACGGATCAACCTGAGTGCTGCGCCTTGGCGATCCGGAATCGTGCCAGAATGCCATTTATGAGATTTCAACACCGCGAACCAACATGATTGTTGTACCCACATAATCCTAAATCCTTCCAGGACGCCATTTCTGGTACGTTGATCATGGGAACCCGTGAAACTCTTACAAATGTTTGAAACGAATGTGCGCGGCGCTAAGGCGAGAGACACATTTTGGAAACCACCCGCCATCAATCCGTGAAACTCTTGCGTTTTTTTTTTCAAAACGAATGTTCGCGGCGTTAAGGCGAGAGCCACATTTCGAAAACCACCCGCCCTCAATCCGTGAATCTCTTGCAAAGTTTGAAACGAACGTGCGCGGTGCTAAGGCGATAGTTACATTTTGAAAGCCACCCGCCCTCAATCCGAAAAGCTCTTGCCAATGTTTGAAACGAATGTGCGTGGCGCTAGGGCGAGAGCCACATTTTGAAAACCACCCGCCCTCAATCCGTGAAGCTCTTGTAAATAGTTTAAACGAATGCACGCGGCGTTAAGGCGAGATTTACATGTTGAAGACCACCCGCCCTCCAAATGTGAAACTGTTGCCAAATGTTAAGTTTCAGAGTCATACGTGGTGATGAAGGTGGTACAAAGTGGCCTCGGGGTGCGTCACGGAGAAATGCTTATAAGGAACAGGAATGGAGGAGGAGGAGGAGGAGGAGGAGGAGGAGAACGCAGGTGCGACGCAGGTGGGGAGAAGGCCAAAACCCCATTTTGCACGGTGGTAACAGAAGCTGGATTAAGGTGTTCAAGTAAGTTGGGCCGTCTTTGGGCCCGCCCACACGGCCTCCACGACAGCCCAAGAGAGCCCCAAGACCGTCCTTTGGGGCTATCGAGATTTCCTGGACCTTTCGTTGTTTTTGGAGGGTGCTGCAGTCGAAGTCGCTTGTTGGAAAGCTTGACAGGCTTGGTGAGGATGTTGGAGTCGGGTAGGGCGGGCTTGGCCCCCGGGAGGTCCTCGCGGCCAGCGCTAGGAGCGCAAAAAAGCGTCCGCAGATGCAGGCGAACTGGTAGTCAGTGCTACAACCCCTTCAGCGTTCACGTCTGGATGAGCCTTCGGGGCGCTCCGTTGCGTGCTGAATCGGCGGCGAGCCTGGGAGGGAGGTGAGAAGGTGCGGGCCTTTTCAGAAGGCTCGGAAGCTCTCGGGCCTTCTGAGAGGCTTTCCAGGCTTTCCCCGAAGACGCAGGACATGTTGCAGAAGGCCGGAGGGCTTCGAGAGACGCCCTGTTGCCTCCTGAGAAGGCCTTCTCCTTCTCACTCACCCCCGCCTGGGCCTCGCAGAAGAGCGCGCCCGCGCCTGGGGCTGGCTTTTCCGAGCTGCCCGCAAGGGGCGCGAGGGTGATTCGCGCCCCGCGCGCCACGGTCTGGGCTGGGGAGCTGCCCCTCCCCACCCCCTGCTTGGCATCGTTGGGACGTGTGCGTTCTTGCTCGGCAGGGACATGTTGACATGTTGGGTCATCATACAACAAATTGCACGCATGCAGCCGAACCATGCACGGGGAATGGACGTCCGAGCGATGGCAAGCCCCTCCCCCTCGAGGTAGGAGAACGAACACTCGCCTGCCGCCCCTCATCAGCCTGAAACAGCTTCCTATCCCCATGACTGGCATCACCTCATCTCGATGCCGATCCGTAAGGATTCCCTCAGCTTGTGAGGGCGCGTTCCTAAGATTGTCACCGCATTTGGGCTTGTACATCTTAGGGATTGGGATGCGTCCGAGGCTGGTTAGCCCCTGCGAGATTCGCCGCGTGGGGCCTTCGCCTTCTGGGCCGCCCCCGGGGTGCGCGCGAGGGCGATCTCGCGCGTCCACCGCGCGCTATGGCCTGGGACAGAGTTCTGGTGAAGGTACGACCACCACCTTTTCTCGCCATGAGCAAACCAGGGAACGGAACAGCCGTGAGAATAAGTTGCGGGAGGTTCTGCTACACTCAGTCTTTGTGGGCCTTCGCCGGGCCCGGGGATCGTCCAATAACGATTCAAGATGAAAAGCCGGTCTCAGGGAATGGGTCGAGTTTTGGGGGGGTCCACGTCGTTTCTTCTGAATAGAAAAAAACATTAGCTCAGGGGTCCGGGTTGGGCGACCGCCGTGGAGCCCGTGACACAGTTTAAGAGAGTATGGCTTACGCGCGTCATCCTCGATCGAGTACGGCTCCCAGCACGAACGACCGATCCGCCCCGCCAGGAAAGCCATTGGATAGTTCCAGGCCCTAGGAGGCACCAAGATGCCTGCCGACACGCCACAGCATGCCCCCAAGACGCCCCCCAGAGCTCCCGGCAGGCCCCAAGCAAGAGGTTTCTAGAGCCATTCTGGCCCAAGACGTTCTAAGTGCCCGCATCGTCGGCGGGCCCCCTCCCCATAGCCACTGGTGTTGTTTGCCGGTGCCTATGTTGACGCGGGCTAGTGGTACCGCGACCAACTCGTTTGTTTTTGTAATCAGTTTGTTTTTTCTTGCCGACCTGCCACAATTTGTCGCCAGCTTCTCGGAGGACTGTGCCGAGCGCGCCGCGGACGCCGGACAGGAAGATGTGGACGGCGCTGCACTCTGCGTATCGTTGCTTCAGAGCCGGCAGGAGTTGAGTTCACTGCAGGACTCACCATGAAGAAGTTCCAGGCTTCCGAATAGGCTCCGAGGAGATGGTATCGGAGGAATGCGCCGCATCGCCGATGCATCGACGATGCGGCTCGATGTGGAACCCGATTTTCGTTAGTGAGCTGATCTGCTGACTCGGCGTGGGACTGAACATCGAAAAGTTCTACAACATAAAAACGAGATCGCCACATTGAAATTGTAAATTATCAATTGGAAAATGAAAATATGGATCCTGGGACTGCGTAATCATTGACAGTTGAATTTTGGAAATGCTCAATATTCGGGCCGGTGATTGAAGCACTGAGAGAATAGCAAGATATGAGTTCTGTCAGTTCTAATACTGGGGAATGTGGACTGATACTTACGCAGACCGAAGGATGTTCCTCTTGTGTGCCAAAGGGCGGAAGCGACGTGCCGTTCAGGTGAGCCGATACATGTAGCGCTATCTTCGGCTTCGTGCCTCCTCCCTCCTGCTTCCCCTCTCCGTCCTAGGAAGGGCCTTCGCACTCCCCCGTATAATCATAGCTTTGGTCAGCAGATCCACAGTTCCGTGGATAGCATGATGCTTCACATGCGGTGCCCCGCGGATCAAATTTCCGTTGGGTCCGGGTTGCCAATTATTAGCATTGCATATTTATGCCCGGGAAATAAGTCGATCCATTTGTCTTCAGACAGGGGAAATTGGATCCGCGCAAGACAGACATCGGATCCACGACGCCGTCGCACACCTGGAAAAGGATCCAATTGGATCCATCGGTGTTTTCATCTTCTTAATCCAACAGGGAAAATCTGCCGGACACGGGACATTGGATAAGGATACGCGCAAAGCAAACATACGATCCGCGACATTGTCGCGCACGGGGATAAGGTGATCCAATTGGATCCATCGGCGTTCACATGTCTTCAGTCAAAGATGAAAAAAAACATGTTGAATCCGTGCGCGTTCGCATCTCATGTCTTATTGTGGAGTAGTTCGGGAGAGAGGGGCGAGCGGGACATTAAATCAGGTAGACGACTCTCTCGAGGCATGGCCAACGCCACGAAGCGGGTCGGGCGTGACACGGAAGTGTGTGCGTGTGATCTTTATCGCGTATCGCCAGGCGACGCAGAGCTAACGGACGACGGGGGTTGGGCGGGCGGAATTCTAAATTGACGTGTCGAGTCTCTGCCGATTGCAGTCGGACGACGCACGGCGAACGGGGCAGTGCGAGCCGAACGGGCGGCTATCGACGTGTCGGGTGTTCTTCTAGCAGGGCCAATCGGGCAGGGCGGCCGAGCGGGCGGAACA